GCCACCTGCTGCCCAAGCGCAAGGACCTGAGTTCGATCCCTGATACCAAAAAAAAAAAAAGCCTTCAGACAAGTTCTAGTTATTTTGTAAAACACCCCATGAAGTTAGGCATGGGGCACAGGTCTGTAGGCCCAGTACTCTGGAAGGCTGAGCCAGGACAATCACAAGTTCAAGCCCAGTATGGCGCTATTTAGCAATTTATCAAGACTCTGTCTCAAAATAAAAAAATAAAAAGGGCTGAGTATGTAGCTCAGTGCAAAGGCCCTGAGTTCAATCCTCAATATCCGGGGCAAAAATCAATAGCCCACAAAACTGTTGAAGTCATCAAAAACATGAAAAATCACAGCCAAGGGTAGTCCAAGGAAACATGACAAATGCACGTAACGTGAGATCATGGATTACAAAAAGGACATTAGGTAAAAACTAAGGAAATTTAAATAAAGTATGCATCTGTTAATGACAATATATCAATATAAGTCATTAATTATGAAAAGTGTACCATATTAATACTAAGATATTAATGATAATGGAAACAGCAGAAATTCTTATTCGGAAGTAGGAGTATGAAATAGTAGAACCAAATTTTGAAAAGGGCTTGGTAGCTTCTTATTAAACTAAATGCACACCAATTATTTGACAACAGAAATTATATCCCTAAGTATTTATGCAAGACAGATGAAAGCATGTGTCTGTATACATAAGTGAATAAGAATATTCATAGCCTCTTTATTTCATAATAGTGCCCATTAATAGGAGAATAAATAAACTATTGTATACCACATTATGTGGAGTGAAAAGAGTCTTATACAAAAGAGGGTATCCCGGGTTTTTCCATTTGTACAAAGTTGTAAAGCCTGAGACAATGTGCATTTGAAATGTGGCTAGTGCAAATGGAAATGTAATATAAGAATAAAATACAGGGCCGGGGATTTAGCTCAGTGGTTCCGCCACCTGCCTCACAAGCACAAGGTCCCAAGTTCGATCCCCATTACCAAAAAAAAGAATAAAATACACAGGGTATGGTTTACTGGGATAGCACTTGCCTAGTGTGTAGGAGGAAATCCTGGGTTTCATTCCCCAGCATAATTAATTAATTTAAAAAACTACATCTGAGATTCCAAGGAGTTATGCTCCCCCCCAAAAAGCAGACTATCTCATTAATAATGTTTTATATTTTTTGAATACTTAAATGATAATATTTTGCATAGATGGAGATGAAGTATATTTTTAAAACTTGTTACATCTTTTTACTTTTAATGTGGACACTAGAAGAATTTAATTACATCTGCATCTTACAATGTAAATATATTGTTGCACATGTATTACTGGGTGCTGATCTAAAAACTTGGAAATAAGACAAAAGGGGACGCGGTGACAGCACATACTTGTAGTCCCAGAAGACTGAGGCAGGAGGATCTGGAGTTTCAGTCCTGCCTGGGAGCTTACTGAGACCCTGCTTTGAGACGTTGGAAAATATACATACATATTATCCTTTAGCGCCTGCTTCACGGGTCAGACTGCCACCTCACCTAACCTGAGCCTTAGCAGGACACCTGGGGAGGGAAGGGAAACGCTTGATTTCAGAAACCCCAAGGCTGAGCTATGGCAAGAGGGGAATTCTGAAGTCTTCCTCTCCCGGCCTCTCTGCTGTGCTGGGGATGGGGCCCAGGGCCTCGCCCATGCTGGGCAAACACACTAACGGAAGCTGCAGCCCAGCCCCAGAGGGGGAATTCTGACGTGGAACCTCCCTTTAGAGCTTCTCCCAAAGGGAAAGTGGCACCAGTGGAGTAGAAGTGATGAAATAAGGGGACTCCTCATCACCAGGCTGGGTCTGAGAGCTCCCCAAATTTAAACTACCCCGATGTACTAGGCTTTTGCAGAGAAAGGATTTTCAGGATGCCTCAGACAGGCTGAGGAGGTTTTATTAGGCAGAGATATCGATTATAGGATGCACTCAAGAGGAGAGGAGTTTGGCACTCAAGTGAGATGCATTACAGTTTGGGACTGGGTACATTTATATTTCTCTTGCGGGTATGAAAAACTAGAGATAAAAGTACCCACTTAGCTGGGAGTGGTGGTGCACACCTGTAGTCCCACCAGCACTCAGGCGGCTGAGGCAGGAGGATCACCATGAGTTCAAAGCCAGCCTGGGCTACATAGTGAGACCTTGTCTCAAAAACAAAAAACAAAAAAACAAAAAAGTGCCCACCGACTTCCCTCAGAAGGCTGCCAGCCTGTTCAAAGGAACGGTCGGGGTTTTTTTATGGGTCGTTTGTTTGTTTGGGGTTTTTGATAGGTGACTTAAACATTCTCTGGATTGCTTCCACCTGTTGTTTACTTTAACTGGCCCAATTTCTGGGCTTCCAGTGATGAGTCTGGTAGGAAAGGAGTGTAAATCTGGCCAAGGACTGCTGCCATTGAAGCTGTACTTGTCTCAGGACCAGGCTCCTATTCCTTACTTTCTCATCTGAGCCAATGTATGGTCTTTTAGAGATGGGCCTGGTAGGGAAGGTATAAATTTAGCCAGGGAATGTCGGCATGGGGCTGTTTTGGGTGACAGCTGAGTCCTGGAAGTTGCAGTTACCTTACAAAGTACAATTTGGAGTTAGGATTTCCTTGTCTCCTTTCCACCTGTCTTTCTTTCTTCTCTCCTACTTCAACCTGGCTCAGTACTCTCAGAAACCCAGGAGTCCTGCACTCCAGAGCTGATAAAAACAGGCTCAGGGGCTGGGGATTTAGCTCAGTGGTTCTGCCACCTGCCTCGAAAGAGGAAGGACCCGCGTTCGATCCCCGGTACAAAACAACAACAACAACAACAACAACAACAAACAGGCTCCAAGTGACCAAGCTGTCAGTGAAAACTTGTGTTTCACACTAGTTAGCGGCTCCTGTTTGTCAAGGCAAATGGCACAGCAGGCCGTGTCTCAGCAAGGCACATTTGTTCAGGAGCACTGAGGCAGAGCCAGAGCCCAGGACTCAGGCCAAAGCCAACTTCACTCAGTCACAGGGCAGCAGGGTTTTTAAGAGTTGAGGTGAGAGGTAGAGTGGAACTTTCTTGTGACTTCGAGAGAAGTAGGTTTACCACTCAGAACATGGCACCTATGGAAGGCAGCTCTCATGCCCCGGTGGAAACTGGGAAACTGCAGGGCTCTCTTTTTTTTGGTACCAAGGATCCAACTCGGGTCCTTGTGCTTGTGCAGCAGGTGGCGAAACCACTAAGCTAAATCCCCAGCCCAAGTGCTCTCTTTTTTTGATAACATTTCAAAGAGATGGTTCTCCAGTCCTTGAGAAAGACTTGTCCTTGGTTGTAAACTGCCGGGAGACTTGAAACTCATATACATCCCAAGTAGGCAGAGAAATAATTTATTATACAGTGGACCTTAAAGTTACAACCAGCCTGATATACAAACAACTTGGGTTATGAACAGAATTTTAGTTTTAGCTTACGACCAAAGTCTTGAGTTACAACTCAAATGCTGGTCACTTGTGCTTCCATATAGTCTCAGATACAGATTTAACTTTTTTTTTTTTGGTACCGGGGATTGAACTCGGGACCTTGCACTTGCGAGGCAGGCAGTGGAAACACTGAGCTAAATCCCCAGCCCTACAGATTTAACTCTTAAAGGGCTCTGGAAGGAACATTACAATAATCCTTTCCTGTGTGGGGTTAGTCGAGAAATCCTGGGCAAGTGTCTCTCTAGGGACACTGAGATCTGCCTGTGTACAGGAGAGACTTTAAAGGCTGTGGAGAGGCGCCTGAGCCTTCAGCTGACCAACTTGAGTTACAACCAGTTCAAGTGAATGAATTTAGTTCATAAGTCAAAGGTCCACTGTACCTTATTTTAAGTAAACACTCTCAGAAGGGAGGTCGGCCTTTCTGGTTAGGCCATCTCAAGTCTAAGACTTGGGGCCAGAGGGAAGTCAGGGGCCTCCCAGAAGGAAGAAGAGTCTCAAGTTCAGTCAAGCGAGGACATTAAGGTGAAGGCCACCATGCTCTGTCAAGACAGACTATCTGGGTTCAAATCCAGACTCTACTACTGGATGACCTGAAACAAGTTTTTCAACCTCTCTAGGCCTGATTTCCTTTCCTTATAAAATACAGATGTTTAATACTTACCTCACAGGACATGGTTTACAGATTAAATATATTAATCCAAGTACATCACTTACAACAGTACCTGGCACATTGTAAATGTATTACTTGATGTTGGTTAGTTACTTCATCGCTCTAAGACTCAGTTTCCCCCATTCTATCTCTGGATTTATGTGCAAAATTAAGGGAGATCATGGATGCAAACACCATTAGCACAGGCCTGGCATCTGGCAAGACTTTCCTTAATAACTAACATTCTTGTAACTCTAGTGACTGATGTTCTCAATCTGTCCATGATTCGAATACAGTACATCTCTTAATGACAGCTCACGCTCTTGTTTGCTATTGTGTTACTATAACTGTTATTATTGTCTTATTTTTATTATCTCATACTATTCCCCATGGTTAATAGTGATACTGACAATATTTCTATTATGTCACTATTCTCCACATCTAGGTTCCCTTTCATCAAGCAGTTCCATTGCCTATCAGGACCTCTGCTCTCCACACCAGGGGTTTTTTTTCTCCTCTGCTTGGGAGAAGACAAAGGTGGGGCTCAGGTCCAGGTCCCCAACACTGAAGCTGAGGCTGACATCAGTAATATGGGCTCTCTGGACAAGGGGGACATAGGACAAAGCTCTGCTCTGCTCCCCAAATTGCTGAAAGTCCCATTCCCACGCTCCGTATGCTCCTAAATGGTTTCACCCAGTCTCCCCCCTCACCCATGGGATCACCCACAAGCTGGCTGGACCCCAGGAGATCAAAGAAATTCAAGCCATGACTCCACCTGGGCTACTGCTGTAGACCTCAGCTTCTCCATCTGTGAAAGGTCCTGCCTTGCCCGCGCTAGCTCAGCTTCAAGAAATTCATGTAAGCAACAAATGAGGTGGAAATGACCCCTTTAAAGCACCATACAAAGTAATTAAATCTTTATTGAAGTCGTTCTGTGCCAGAAACTGGCTACTCAAAGGCAAAAGGCACAGTCCTTGTCCTGCAGGAGCTCACAGTCTAATAACAAGGCAGAAGAGAACAAGATTCCCGCGGAGACGCAGGAGCCATTGCTGCCTCACCTCCCACATTCCCACCGGCCACGGGGAGGTGAATGGGAAGCTCCTGGTCACCCTTTCCACCTTCCCTGGGACAGTGGACTTCTCTCACTCTGTCCTGGGCACCATGAGAGGGGTACAGCTGCTATCTCAAGAAGCTAGAACACCCTGGCAGTATATATACAACAGTAATTTTTGCTGGGGATTTAGCTCAGTGGTTTCGCTGCCTGCTGCGCAAGCGAAAGGACCCGAGTTCGATCCCCGGTACCAAAAAAACAAAAAACAAAAACAGTACTTTTCATTTCCCAAAGCCGCAAACCAGTGCAGCAGAAGCTGGAGAATACTGGGGACATCAGAAGAAGAGGGGCTGGGCCAGCCCAGTCCAGTTGTGAGAAACGGAAGTAACGGGAAGAGTTGGTACCCAGGGCCAGGGAGTAGGGTGAGAGGGAAGTTTTCTGGTGGAAAAGCTCACAGGAGGGCACCACCAGCCACGGCCAGCAAAAGAGCTGCCAACCCGGCCCCAGGAGCTGCAGGGCCTTTGCTTGAGGGTCTTGTGGTCCAACCTTTCGCAGGGTACTGCCCCACATTACTGCGGTCCTGGTGGCCCGCCGAACCTCCAACCAACCTTGACTCTTCTTTCTGGGAGGTATCGGGTTGCACTTCATGGGGGAGAGTCTGGCTGGCTGGGGTTGGGGTGGGTTTGGTGGTAGAGGTGAGAGTAGTTGGGGCCAGGGTGGAAGCGATGACAGAGGTGGTTGGAGCTGGTGTGGATGGAGCTGGGGTGGTTGGAGGGGGCAGGAGCACAAGGGGTGGGATTCGTGGAGAGAAATAGGTCTTGTTGCGGAGGTCTGAGTTACAACGGGATCCCTGGCAGCAGGAGCCGCTGAGTGTGAACCCGGGGCCCGTCACCCCATCTCGGGTGCACAACTCATCCTGGACACAGCCCCGGACAGGCAAGGACACGGTCACATTAGCTGCAGGAGGGAGACACAGATAGGTCAGCAGTTGGATGGAGGGAGGTTGGCATGGACAGAGTGAAGCACAGGAACATCTGGAGCAAGGCAATATCAGAGGACCCAAAAATAGAACAGAACGGTTCTATACTCAGTGACGACACAATCTCAGATCTGGTCCCACCCTGCCAAACAGGGTCCCACTGTGCTTGGCACATGGTGGACCACATTTTCACAGTGCGTTAACAGGGACAACGTGTACCTCAAACTACAAGTCGGGGCCGGGGATTTAGCTCAGTGATTCCGCTGCCTGCCTCGCAAGCGCAAGGTCCCGAGTTCAATCCTCGGTACCCCCCCCCCCCCAAAAAACCACAAAAACTACAAGACTACCTTGAAACAAAGGTTTGGGCTACAATACACACCTCTCCTAGGACCAAAGAGCAGAATAAGCTTCCCTTGGTCTCCCTCACCATCTCCCCCATCCCACGCCGAACCCATCTCTATCAAAATTTAGTCTCTGAGCCAGAACTACAGCTCCCATAGAATCCCATGCACAGGATGGGGTTGAAGAGTTTCATGCCCCATGGTTCTGAAGAAGGGGCCAGGAAGCTGACTGCATTTTCCTAATACTCTGGGACAGGGGAGCAGCCCTGAGCTTTAAGGGCTCAGAACCAGATTCCCCACACTACACGAGCAGAAGGTTAGACACTTAAACACATTTCCCACTGTATGTTCTCCGTTCTGCATCTGCCATCTCCCTCTATGAAAACACCCCCGCCCCCCGTTGTTTTGTTTGTTTGGGTTGCTTGGTTTACTTAGAATAAAAGCATTCCTATCACCAAGCTATATGATTATGGGACTGCATTTCCCATAATGCTCCAATTACACTTCCCAGAATACGTCAGAGGTGGAGGACTCAAAATCCCCACACCACCACTCAGGATGTCTCAGAAAGGCTACCACCCCTGCCGGTCCAGAGCACGGGGGTTCACTCACCTGCGGTCAAGGTGACGTTGCCGTCGAAGCAGCCCTTGTAGACGCGGTTGTTGGCGTTGTAGCAGCTCACGACGGGCGACACTGTACCCTGACACTTCTCATGGCTCAGCCCCACGCAGCTGTAGCACTCGGCGCCGTTGGGCTGGTACGCGCTCTCGTTGCCTGCAGGGCGGCCGGGAGGCAGGGAAGGGTCCCCCACTGTGGGCGTGGCTATCGCCCCTGGCTCCTAGTCCCGCCTCTCGGGCTGGTGGTGAAGCCCCGCCCGCTGTTTTCTACACCTGGGAACCGCCCCGCCCGCCTCACCCCACTGACCTGTGGGGTTGAGCCCTCGCGAGGTGAGGTTGAGCTTGGCGTTGCAGCGGTCCTGGGCGCACTGCTGCAGCTGGATGAAGGCCAGGAGGCCGTGGAGGTCCAGTCCACGGTCATTCTTGCCGGGGAGTCCTGAGCCGCAGCCTCGCACTGCCACTGAGAATTGCCCGTGGACTGCGGAGTGAAAGGGGGCGGGTCAGGGGCGGGGCCTCGAACCCAAGGACACCACGGGGTGCACCAGCTGGGGGCCACCGGCAGGGGCCTCAGGAGGCGCAGATGGCAGGGGAGAGGACAGGCAGAGGCAGGCGTGGGGTCGTGGAGACCAGAGTCTAAACGGATGGGCGGACACCAAACAGATTCATGGTGAGGCCTAGTGGGAGAGGACCTCGAGGTGCCGCAGAGGGGCAGAGCTGCAGAACAATCGCAATCGAAGGACTAGGAAGAGCCTGAAGAGAGGAGTGCGGCGGGCTGAGTTCCTTAGCCGACTCTGGAGGGCGGGGTTGCAGAGGACTGGGCCTGGGCCCTGGGGGCTTCCGCAGAGGGGGTCACGCGGGCGGAGCCTCAGCCTCAAGACCCCAGGATAGGGGAGGTTTTGGGGGGGGGGGCGGTCCTGCAGGACGCAAATGGGAAAGGTGGCCTTGTCCCAGACCTGGATGGTCCCAGGCCCCCACCCCCAACTGGCAGCCCCTGTGATCCCCTGGATGGAGAGGCGAGGTTGTGCTGAAGGGTCAGGATGAATAGGAGGGACATCGAGTTAAAGGGGTGTGGCACAGCTGAACGAGCGGAAGAGAGTGTGGAAGGGCCTCGGGGTCGCACTCACTGGTCTCCACCGCCCCCACGGCCTCCGTGCAGACGTCCACGCCCGGCGCGCACTTCACGGTCTTCATCTTCCGTGCTGAGCATCCATCGTCTGCTTTCTGCACGCAGCTGTAGCACTCCAGGGCTTGCGCTCCTGCAGGTACAGGCCGAGCAGAACTGAGCTGTGCGTCCTCCCACCGAGGAGAAAGAGCCCTTCCCACGCCCTCTGTCCCCCGGTGGACACAATCCTACTGCGCAGCCTTTCCCAGGGCAGCAGCCGAGGAAGCCTGCCCACAAATCTGGGCCACGGGATAACTGGACTCTTTTCCTGCTCGCCTCCTATGCCTACGATGGGAGCATCCTTCCCACAGCTCCACAAGCCCAAGGAAAAGGATCTCTGCCGTCATGCCCCTCCTGCCAGGGTGGGAGCGATAGGTTCCCTCAGGTCTCCGCTCAGGGTTGGAGAAATTTTCCCACAGCCAGCTGTATTGAGGATCACTCCCCACTATCCCCTCTGAGCAGGGCAGGGGCTCCTTCCCACAGCACCCTCTGTTCACGATGAGAGGACCCTCACGGCCCCCTTGCCCAGGGCAGGGAAACTCCACAGCCTACCTGTACCCAGGATGGAGAACTTTCCCCACAGGCCTGTTGCTGGTGGTGAGCCTCGCCTTGTAGAGATGGGGGTTCTCCTCCCTGAGAGCTCCTACTCTACCCCCAGGACCTTTTGGCAGCAGACCTACCTTCACGAAGCAGCAGCGGGAACAACAGGAGCCAGCCTGTGGTCCAGATTGCCACCAGGGCACCTGCTTTCCTGGCGGAGACCATGGCTCCGTCCTGCTCCCTCGGCGTCCCCTCTGGGTGTGCCGCCTCCCCACCGGGGCCCTCTTACCTGAGCCCAGGATGAGTAACCTACCCTGGGGCAACCCTGGCCTTGCCCAACCGGGCCAAGTCAGCATCCATTGTGGGATGGGCCCGCCCTTGGGTGCCTCACCCACAGGGAGAGCGGCTCCAGTAACGAGCAGCTGCCAAGGAGGGAAAGGGCAGAAGTTGAGGTTTTCTGACAGTCTCTAAGAGAAAGTCTGCATTTGGGAACAGAGAAAAGCGGGGCTCCAGGAGAGGCAGGAGCTATTGAGCATCAGCATTCAGTATCCAAAGAACAAGGAAATGGCCTTGCTTTGATCTGGGTGATGTGGGAGGGTAAGAGAACCAGTGCCTCACCTCACAGGGCTCCCATTTGATGGCGGAGACAGCTGTGAAATAGTTGTGCACACTTTTTATTATCATGGAGACCTGGGTAATGAGGGAAGATGTGTAGGAAGCTCCAAGGAGAGATGGAGCCTAGAAGTAGGCCTGCTTTTCCTTAGGAAGACCTGAAACGTGATCTCAGCCATGAAGTTCTATGAAGTCTGTTAATAGTTTTTCTACTCACAGAAGGGTGGGAACTGAGGTGAAAGAGTCAGGCAGGGGTCAGCTCTGAAAGGAGATTTGGATTAATTCTGAGAAAGGTGGAGAATGTTTGCGAGGATCCAAATCAGCTGGAGAAACTAACCTGTATGAGAGAAATCAGACCAGGGGCTGCCTCTGTAGGGGCCTTGCCCCTGAAGGAGCATAGAGGAGCACACCTCTCTGTGTGAGGAGGTAGCTATGCGTGTGCACACATATGTACAGAATCACGGAGCTGCAGATATATGCACTTCACTGCATTCTGATGTTCAAGAAAAACAAAGAAAGCCAGGCCTGGTGGTGCATGCCTGTAACCTTAGCAGCTACTTTGCAGACTGAGGCAGGAGGATGACAAGTTTGGGACCAGGCTGGACAAGATTCTGTAGCAAATAAAATAAAAAGCATTGGGTAGGTAGCTTAGTGGTAGATGCTTGCCTAGCATGTGCAAGGCCCTGCCTTCCATCCTCAGCACCACACACATACACACACACACACACACACACACACACACACACACAGGGAAAAGGGTAGCTATGGCCTCTGTGTAAAAGAAGGAAAAGGGGCCCAGGAGTGAGGAGACGGGTACAGGAGCCAGCTTCCCTGGTGAAAAGAGAAATGCAGCCCCTACGAGTCTGAAGTTGGCTTGGCCCTCACAGAAGGGCTGTGGGGTTCTCCTGCCCACAGCCTCACAGAACACCAACATGGGCCAAGGTCACGATTGCTGTAAAAGATCGAGACAAGAATCAAAACCACTCCATAACCGCGTTTGAACACAGAGACAGGATCATTGTGCAAACCACAAAATGACTAAATATTCCCAAATTTTGGCTAATCGAAGTGACTTTATATTATACTAATATAAATTATGACTTTAATCTTGCTTTGTTTCTCTTGCCTTATAAATAAGGTTTATAAAAATAGCCAACCTTAGCATGACCCCTGCTGTGTGACTATCCAATCTAGAGTGAAGCCCAAATTCCTTGAGTTGCCTCTAAAATCACTACACTTATGTCCAAATCTTAAAATCTTTTTAATGTCCTTTTACTGGAACACCTCATGGGTCCTCCACGATGTGTGTTCTCCCTCATTGCAGGAGCAACAGAGCCAATTTGTTCTACCACAAATGTGTTCCTGGTGGAGAACTTGGCAAGGCAAGAGCTAATATTACTTGGCCTAGCATAGTAGCAAAAGGATCCAAAATATTTGAGGAAGAAGCTGGACAGGAATAACTGAGAGATCAAAAGAGAGAGAGAAAGCCAGGCCTGGTGGCAAAAACATGTAATCCTAGCAGGAGGATCAATCACAAGTTCAAGCCCAGCCTTGGCAACTTAATGACTTAGCAAGAGCTAGTCTCAAAGTCAAAAATAAAAGGGCTGGGGATGTAGCTCAATGTGAGGACCCCAAGTTTAATCCTGAGTTCAATCCCTAGTACTATACAGCAAAAAATAAAATAAAAAAGGAGGGAAGAGGCAGTGGCAGGTTTCCAAGAGCATTTCAGATAGCTGGAAACCATATCATGACAGTAATAATAATGACAACAAAAGTAACAATAACGGGCCAGGGATTTAGCTCAGTGGTTCCACTGCCTGCCTCACAAATGCAAGGACCCGAGTTCGATCCCTGATACCAAAAAAAACAAAAACAAAAAAAAGTAACAACAATGTCCAAGTATCCAATATTTACTATGTATCAGAAACTGGTCAAAACACAAGCATTCATTGTCCCCTTTAATCCTCACCTTTAAGATAAGTGTGTCTGTGGTCCCTTATTGAACACCTACTCTGTGCCTCCTCTCTGACCAGCATGACAGCTCTGCAGAGGGAGGACATTGCCCCATTTCACAGATGACGAAACTGAGGTTGGGAGGGCTTGGAAGTGGCTTGGAATCCAGGGCTGTCTCCAAAGACCTCCACTGCTGCTTGTTAGGGTGGGAGTCTGGTCTTAAACCTAAAATGATATTTTGCAACGACTCTCAGTTTTGGAGCCAGCCAGACTTGGGTGTGAGTCCCAACTCTGCCACTGATTTGCTGTGTAGCTTTGGGCAAGTGGCTCCCGTTCCTTGGTGTTCAGAGTCCTCCTCTACAGATGGAAACAGTGAACAAAGCATTCTTATTCAGCCTTCTTCATGTTCTGCGAGCTCTTTCCTATCCTTTGCACACAACCCTATGAGACATTTTTAAGGATAGTCGATTTACAACTTGGGAAATTGAGGCACAGAAAGGTTGAACAACTTGCCCAGGGTCACATAGCTAGGAAGGGATGGAGGCAGTGTTCAAACCCAGGGAGTCTGGGGTGAGAACCAACAAATAGGTGTGATAGGTGTATGGATACACTGGTTACCAGCTGTGGAACTTTGACACTTGGGCTCCGCAGGCCTCAGTGTCCACATCTGTAAAATGGAGACCTTAACGGTACCTACCTCATAAGAATGCTGTGGGGATTAATGTCAAATATATGTTAGATAGGGCAGGGGATTTAGCGATTTAGCTCAGTGGTTTTGCCGCCTGCTGCACAAGCGCAAGGACCCAAGTTTGATCCCCGGTACCAAAAAAAAAAAAAAAAAAACCTAACATTGCCAACACTATAGCACTGGA